ACACAAAACATCAGCACATCCTCCCTACACCTTCAACAGTTTCAACACATAGCATTACAACACAGCCAACATATATAAATATGAACAACTCAGTCTACTGTAAAACAATATTAACTTGAACATCATTACATCAACATCTCAAAATTTTTTTATCACAACAACATAATATATATTGCACAACAACTACATGTGTCATCACGCATTTCAACTAGGAGAACTCCAACAACACAAGACTACCAAACCAACACAAGATGATCTTTTTAACTTGCTAAATCAAAAACAAATTGGATATTAATCCACAATACAAAAATTTGGTTTCTCAGATGTCGCCACTTAAATAAATAAGTTTAATACTACTGTCAGGGTAAAACAACTGGGTATAGGTCTACCACGGTTAGCTAGTTTAACTAAGCCTCCTATATGATTAGCCCCTCAACTACTCCCAAATACTATGCCTTTTCGATACTCGGTTAGGAGTTAAATTCCCAACTTCGTAATTTATTCAATTGATCACTTTATAGATGTGTGTCTCAAATTTGCTCGCACAAAGTACCAACTAAGGTCCTAGAGGAGACTCAACTGTCCTCTTTAAGAGTCAACTTCCCAAGAAGGATTTTTAACAAAATTAGACTCTCGAAGTACCATAACACAATATTCACATAATGGGATATGCAACTTTAAAACAACCTCTCCTCTAGTTATAAGTTGGTCAACGCAACTCAACAACACCATATCTGAATGCTTAAAGCATTCTTAGCATATATCATCTTAGCAACTTAATAACATCATGCAAATTCATCACATCTACACAACTCACAATATGCATCGTACATCTTCAACACAACTACATAGTTATATGCTATACAATTCAACTCCACTTTCATCTAACATGCATAAACATCAAGAACAACTCATCAGCTCAAGAAAGTTCCTTCCCTACAAAATATTAAAATCCTCAAAATCAGACTCAATTCCTGCATACAACTCATTATATATCATCTACAAATCAAAATTTTAAGAAAAGGAACATGCAACACCAACTCATAAACCAATGCATAAAATCTTTCTTCCTTCATCAAGAACACCAAAAACTCAAATTTTAACATGCAACCCACTCCGAAATCAATCCACACATCTACGAATCTCCAAGATTCTAACAACTTTTAGCTCTTAATCAAATTAACAACTGAACAAACCCATTAAGTAAGAATTCTAGCTTCCCTTACCTCAGAATGTAATGAAATCAGGGAAGGACTCTAAGGTAGAAGAAGAGGAAGACGAGCTCCATACTCTCTAGCAACACAAGGACTCAACACTAAGGACATGAACCAACACTCCCCACTGATCTCACGGGTTTGGGGAGCCTAGAAGAAGAAGAAGTTAGAATTCATAGCTTTCCTCTCTAGGGTTTTCTCTCTCTCTAATTTCTTAGAACGAAACTTATGAGGCTCTATTCTAAATAAAAACCTTATATACTCCTCCATTTAAGGTCTAACTACACCTTTGCCTAGAGAAACCCCCAAAATTACTTAAAATCATAAGAAATCTTCAGATTCTAGAGTTCCTCAACACAAAATAACATTCTAAGACTCATAGTGTTACAATGAAAATTAAGAAAATTTATTTTATAAGGGTCAAAACCAAAATTTGCACATTTTACAAGGATCAAATTTTTTTTATAAGGACTAAAAAAATGTTTACAAATTTTAGAAGAATGAATAACAAAAAAAAGATTATAGGAACCAAAATCAAAACTCACTCATTTTATAGGAAATTAAAAACATATTTAAGCCTTATATATATATATAATTTAGACTTAAACATATTTTTAGTCTCAATAAAATGAGCTACTTTTGATTTTAGTTCCATATATTTTTCTTTATTTTTCATCACTCTAAAATTGAAATTGTTGTTTTTAGTCCTCACTATAATATGATCTTTTTAACTACTTTTGACTTTATCATATGGTCAAGTAATAATCCATATTGACACCCAAAATTATATTTGATATATTATGTTCGTATTTGCACTCATAATTCTTTTTTATAAATTCTTAAAACAAATGTTTCAAGGACCAAAAACATATTCAAACCTATAATTCATTATAAAATTTTAATTATATATAATGTACATTTAGTCGTAAATTGTAAAATAATAATGTTACTCCACCAAAATTAAGTGGTCTCAAAGTGTTATTCACACTTAGACAAGTTCTTTTTAATATCATTACTAAGACAATGTTATGTTACCATACACATCCATAAACCAACATATAACACTTGAGTGTTCTTTTCATTTCATAAAAGTTGACACGAATAATAACAAAAATATTTGTTGACACTTAGTCAAATTCTATTTTAAAAAATATTTAGTGTTTATATATATATATATATATATATATATATATATATATTATCCTTGAAATATACCATTTCTTTAGTTTCCGTCCTTGTACAAATATATATTTTTTTAAATGGTAGTAATTTTTTGTCGATATTGTAATGCTCTGACATGTCACTACACTCGATATAGAATAGTTACTACACAATGGAAATACTAATTGTATTCAACTATCCCGGGATTATCATGCAATAGTTTCCGATCATTCATGCAATTAAATACACATGTAGGACAAAAAACATAAAAAAGTTCCTACATATATGACTAAAAACATAAAGTCCTTTATGAGGTTGTATATAAACCCTGTACATATATATATAATCTACATAAATTACAAAATTGTATACAAAATATCGTTAATCTAGTTTAACGTCTATGCAACAATCATGATACATCAGAGTAGCATCACCAAAAATTAGGTCACATGACCCTTCAGTTGCTAACCAAACTATCTTGCTAATTTAGTCCTACTTTCATACCAAGTATGATCATTGTAGTTCCAATCACAAGGAAAATAAAGGGTAAGTTTGTGAAAGAATCAATATAAGATTACAACAATATACTATAGACAATGTAATCAACATTCAATGCGCTGATAAAAAAAATTCAATGCAACACAATTTAGCAACTTTCAGCTTGTCAATAATATCACATAAACAATGCAGTAACTTACATCATAAACACCTTTAAACAACTAATGTGTTATTATGCATATCAACTATGAATATCTCTTACAATAAATATGAGTAGTCTAAGTGATTAGACCCTATCAAACCACAACATCTGACCTATTACAACCAGGTCAAGTATAGATAGCGCTAGGTCTTTGAGAGTGTCAAGTAAACAACTTAAACTAATTTATTAGGTTTTTCCACTTAAACTAGGAAATTCTAGCACTACTTTTAAAGTAGAATAACTTGGGTGTGAGTTTATCACAACCTTAACAAGCATATCTAAGCCTTACATGGGATTAACTCATTGACTACCCTTTAAATACTATACATATTTCCAATAATTAGTTAGGGGTTTTACCCCTTAACTTTATACTTTACTCGTTGGTTACTTTATACACATATGGCACGATCTAACCTCATACGATTTCCACATAAAATTTAGAGGAAACAACTTAAAACGAACTATCCATCCAAAAACTAGCTTACTTATTGAAGAACTCTCAACTTGGGTTATCCTAGCATCATAACTTATATCCACACAATGAAAAATTTTAATTTTATAAAACAATTATACTTTCCTCTAGTTTTCTCAAGTATATAGAATTGTAGATGCAACTATGACTATACCAAATGGAACTATCTTTCCCGTTTGTCCTATGAATTTGGCATTCAACTGTGAATTCATTGGTCTTGCAATGTACTTTGGACTCATGGGTGAGGGTCAACCTATTGGACACTATGATGATATGTGGGTTGGCTGGTGTGTGAAGGTATTATTTCACAAACTTATGTTCAATTTAGTTGACATTATTTTTACAACAAAGATAGCAACCCATTTGTGAACCTTAAGAAGGAGTATAAAGGACTTTTTTTTGGCAAGAAGAGTTGATCCCATTTTTGCACTCTATTTCTCTTCCAAAGGATTGCACAACTGTTAAACAATGCTACATTGAACTCTCCAAGCAAGCTAAGGCCATGCTTGGCAAGGTTGATGAGTATTTCAACAAGCTTGCAGATGCCATGGTCATGTGGATTGAAGTTTGGGACAAACTAAACTCATTTGGAGCATAATTTGATGCATTGCCCAATGATCCTACAACATATATTATTGGTCTTGATCTATGCAACTCAAGGGATATAAATTATTAGGAAGAAAAAATAGCCTATAACTATCTTTTCTTCTTCTTCTTTTCATAGAACAATAAAACTTGAGTGACTTTTATACAAGTTGACCAATAACATTGAAATTAAGCTTTACTAAATTAAGGATTCATTTAAAAAAGCTTATTTACAAATTTTTTGGACTAATCATATGACATAAACATTTATGTAAATATTTAGGAGAACTTATGAAAATAACTTATAATGTCTCTCTATAAGCTTCTTTTAACTTATTTCAATAAACTCTTCATAATAGATTATAAAAATAGTTTACTTAAAAACAATTTCATGGAATTTTCTCATTCAATAATCTTCGTATTCTAAATTCTTAAACCTAGAGAGACACAAGCATTAAGATAAAAAAAATCACAAGAAAGCATGAATCAAAAAAATTATATTCTTAGATTAATCAAAATATGACAAATGATCTTTATTATCTTCATCTAAATTCACATGATACCTTATGAACACAACAATAATTTTTATTAATGACCAAATAATATAAGGCATTAAGAAAAGAGATGATTACTCAATCTCTTGAAGAAACTTGCATTTAAAATAAAATGATGCAATTATTGAGGATTCTCAAAAATTCATATATAGCTAATAATATAAATAGAAAGATAGTGTAGAAAAAAAATGTAAATAAAAAATGTAAATAAAAAAGATGAATAAAAGAAATAATTTTGTCAAAATTTTAAAGAAACTAAAATTAAAAAAAAAATATATAAAGTTTTAGAGAGACGGAAAACTTAATTAACCCTAGTATTGATTAATGTTTTGTTTTAGTTACGACCATACTCAAGAGCTAATTTCATTGCATTTGCTGCAAGATCAAGAGAAAAAAAAATCATTTTATTGATTATATGGGGATTAACCATCGTTGGGCTATTTCAATTTATTTAGTGATTTTAGGTTTAAAATTTTCATATTATGTTTGCCCTTTCGCTAATACTATGTGTTTTGTATTTTAAAAGAAGTGGAGAATCATGTCTGATTCACTTCTTAATATCAATAATCAATATCTATATATAAAAGTGAAAAAATGTTTATTTTCCACATTTTAAAAACATTTGTATCATTTATTTATTTTGATAACAACATACTTCTTTTAAAAATATAGATCAATTTAATAATTTTATTTTATTAATTTAAAAAAATTATTAATTTATCAAAAATGATTTTTTTAATAAATCGTAATTTTACTGCAGCTTTGTAACTTCTATACACAATATTCACAAGACACAAAATACCTTTATTTTGTTAATAATAGATTAAAACAAATCTTTTCCTCACTCGTTTTTTTCTCCATTTTTAATATGATGAATTCATCCTTTAAATAAAAACTTTCATTACTTAACTATATATTACATTCTCCATTAAGTATGTGTACATGACACAATTATATAAAATAATAATAAAATTTACACATATAAAAAAAATTAAAAATAAGATTTACACAATTAATTTAATACGTATAAAAATATATTAAATATTAAAAATAAAGAAATTAATAATCATTGTTTAATTTTAATTATACTCCGATGAAAGTTGGTAATAATCCTTAAGATATACCACAATCATTTCTCATCAAACATCATTACTAAAGACTTACATGTTAGAATTTAGTAGAAGTGCATAATCATGTAATTATTATTAACACACCACACACACATATATATAATAAAATAAAATAAAATGTGAAAATATTTAGATTACAATCGAAGATGATTGTTGACATAAAATCGAATACAATACAATGTTGACTGAAACTAGAGTTGTTGTGGGTAGTGGCAGAAATTGGTGTGCATCGATCCATCCACGTGCTTTTATTGCAGAGTCTGAGGTTTCTTTTGATGTGCGTGCGGTCCCATTCTTTGTGTTTGTCTTCTCTTCTCTCTTTTTTCTCTCTCTTCAATGGCTTCCTTTTCTCTCACCTCTTCCTCTCCCCTTCTCAACAAACCCATCTTCCCTTCTTCCCATTCCCTTCTTCACCCTCTCCCCTCCCATTTGCGCATGCCCCACACCCCTCTCCACCTTCAAACCCCACTTCTCATGCCCAAGATTCGCTCCTTGCGTCACGAAACTAGAGGTATTTTTTCATTTTTTTTTACTTATTTTATTCCTTTTAGGAACCTTAAATGGGCTCAGATCGGGGCCAAGATCGTGTTTGTGTTATAGCTTTATAGGGAACATTCAGTGTTCCATGATTTCGTCGTACGTGTGTGTTTGAGAACAAGAGGGTTTATTGCTGATGTGTAACCGATCAGTTGGTATTGTTACCACGTTGCTATTCTTTTCGTTTTCCACTTTAAAGAATGCTGAATGCTAATTTGTAATAATGGATCGAAATTAGGTATTATATGATGCTATGAGGGAACCATGATTGTTTTTGTTCCTCTCATTTCTGGCTAGACTTTATGAGGTTTCGTGTGGGATGATATAGGTGGTGTTTGATGAAATGTGCAAATCTCAATGTGCTGCATATTGGATCTTGGAATAGCTCTAAAGAATTTTAGAGAGGCTGTTGGGTAGTAGTGTAGTACCAACGGAGGTTATGAAGAAATTTGTTGATACGAGGGTGGCTTGGATTTCAGTGATAATGCTTTTCTTGCTGTGGAGTTCTGGGTGGTAATTGACGGATTGTGTGCCCTGACTTTTGTTTTTTTTGGTGTCTATGTTGGTAACTTTTAAGAGATTTTGCTTTTTTTTTTTTAAATGTATTTTTCATTTTCCACTTAAAGGGTTCTGTTTGACCCTTAAATCTCATACTTTTTAGCATTTTCCAACTTGGGCTTTTCGTAGGGTGTGTAAAATGTCACCATGTGATTTTAGCTTTTGGAGTGACTGAAAAAAACAATATTAGGCGTTATATTTTAGTACTCATTTCAAATTTGAAGAAATGAACTCAAGCAATGTATGTGAAAGTGTTGAAATGGTCATACTGGATCTGCTTAAAAATAAGAATCTAGTTCTCCTTTCCTATTCTCTTTTTTAGAAAATTGTATCCACAGTGGAATGGATATGTGAAACACGTCCAAACTACTGACAAAATATAAATTGCAGTTGGAATAGATTCATTCTTAATTGTGGTTAAGTTTTGCAGAACTTTTTCCTTTTAAATCATTTGTCCCCAAAATAACATGCAGAGGCAGGGAAGGACAGGCACGTAAAATATAGTTTATTGCCTATATCTTGCTTCAACCTGACAATCCAGCATACAGGACCTGTCATGATGACGTATTTGTGTAATTACAGATCAGAAGCATTATAAACCTAAGTATCCTTTTGATCTTTTATCCTTGTTTATTTAAATTTCAAGGAAATTATGTAGCCTAGTTGATATTTCATCATTGTGTTCATTCCTAGTTTGAATTGCTAGCATTATTGTAATAGTTTTTTTCCTCTTGTTTTTTAGGACTGAGGCTAATTTGATCATTTAAATTGTCATAATTGTTTTCTCATCTGAAGAGCTTGGAAAGTTCTTTCGTCCCCACGCCCTTCCACTTCTTTTGGCTATTATATCAATAGGATTGGATGCTTGGGCTACCTGATGTTATTGTTGTATATTCAAATATATTTAAATTGTTTCCTTTTCAGACTTGCTAGTTTGTTTGAAATTAAATCATGAAAATGTCCCCTCTGCCTCAAAAGAAAAAGACGAGAGTCAACCATGTAGAAGAAGTCTGAAACAAGTGTTTTTTAATGAGTAGAAAATTTTCCCTCTCTATGTAACCACGTTCCTGACAAAGGAGGGAATTAATGTTGAAATATTTCACTGTGATTTAAGGCTCATGTTTTTTTGTTTGTTTGTTTCAATTTTGTCATTTATGGGATGTTAGTGTGTATTGTGGCTTGAATCAAAAGATGGTCTTCTAATTATGTGAAGTTGTTATTTAGCAGCTGCACCAGTTACCAAAGACCTGTGGGAAAATTCGATTCTGAAAAGTGAAACCCCAGTTCTTGTCATATTCTATGCAAATTGGTGTGGCCCATGCAGGATGGTTCACCGGATAATAGACGAAATTGCAACAGAGTATGCTGGGAAACTCAAATGCTTTATACTCAACACAGACACTGACATGCAAGTTGCTGAAGACTATGACATTAAGGCTGTACCTGTGGTATTAATGTTTAAAAATGGCCAGAAATGCGATTCCGTGATCGGTACCATGCCAAAGGAGTTTTATGTGGCTGCGATTGATAGGGTGCTCAAATCATAATCAGGGATAAGTGCTGGCAAAATCTCAGCAAAGGAGATAAACTCTTGCCCCTGCATGACCCTTTCATTTTCAATTAAATTTTCTGTTACCTTGTCAGACTAAACTTTGCTGAGTTCTTCTGTACATATTTTGTGTACGTTTTTTTCCCCATAATAGATGTGGCCTTGTGACACTGCTTTCTTAATGAAGGGTCCACTTCCAATCTCAATAATTTCCTTAGAAAAGCCTTGTTAAGCTACAGAGAATATCATAGTTGAGATTTGACTGTTCCTTTGGCATTTGATTTGAATACCTGCTTTTCTGAAACTAGAGGATTTGATTACCTTCATTGTGACTATTGTCCGTTCTCACCCTAGTGCGTTTGACTAAAGTAATAACATATATATTCATATTAGCCTGTTTAAAAGTAGCTTTTGTGTATATAAAATTTAGTTACAAATACAAAACGTTATACTTCTGTTTGATTATAATATGCATTTTAGCTCTTTTTTTTTGTTGGTTTTTAATATTTATTCGTGATGGTTGGTGTAAAAAAAAATTATTTATTCGTGATGGTGTCAAAAAAAGATATATTTATTCGTGATTGAAGCGTCATTTAACTAATTAAATGAACACTACAATTGGTCTATTTGTAGGGGTTTTGGATTGTCTGATTAAAAATTTAGGTTTTAACTTTGCCCTTTGGGTACTTTTATTTTGTGTTACAAATATCTATTGACCACTTGTTCTTGAGCATTCTTCAACCTTCCGTGAATAATATATTATCAACTGCCTTGACCGGTAGCTAGAGATCTTGGTTATATTCGTACTTCATCTACTACATCAATTTTCGTACTACTTTGGCAGCGGATTATGTCAAATTACACCATAGAGATATAATTTTTTTTTTATAAAGTAAATATACAAATATTATATTATTATTATTATTATTATTATTATTATTATTTTAAACATTATAGTTGATTTATTCAAAATATTCTAATATATGATACTTTACTTATTTTTTAAAATTTTTTGTTAAAATTCTATTAACTTTTGTTATAAAAAAATTTTATCACTAAAATATTATTTACACTAACATCTCTTCATAGATGTAAATATTACACTATCCTCCCTTTTTGTGTTAAAATAAACATTTCTTTCCCTTAACAACAATAAATGTTACACTTTAATCATTTATTTCTTGAGTTACATATTTAATTATTATTTAAAAAATTATTATAAATTTTTAAAAATTATTTACAAACTGGCAACAAAATTTGTGACAATGACCGTGATGGTTTTGATGGTGATCCCTATACGTTGTCACTATTATTGTCATCATAACTATCATCATTGTCATCATGTAGTGATAATAATGACACTACTATCATTACCATCGCCATTATCATAGATATCACTGTCACCATCACTATCACTAGCAACAATAATTGCAATGACAATGGTGGTGGTGACTGTTGCGACAATGATGTTATTAATAGTTGTACAGACAATAATATTAATAATATTGTAAGAGTGTCTATAATTAAATTTTAATCTTAATTATTAATTATTTTTATCTATAATCTAAATATTATGATTTACTCATCTTATCTTTTATAATAAAATATATTTTCATTTGATATCCTCCATTTATATACACTAGATTCGTTATTCATGCGATGTCTAAGTTATTTTGGTAATCCATTTGATATGATATCTAAATTTTTTCAACCATGATAATTGTTATATAAAATGTATTAATTTTTATATTGTTTAAATTAATAAAATAATGCCTAATTAAATAAAAATAATTTTTTTCTTCTTTGCTAAAACCTCAAATACATTTTTTAAATGTTCCTCCAATTTTACTTTTTTCTTACTTTCATGAAAGAAGTCATTAGAGAACAAACGCAATGACATGATAATTCCTACATACAAAAACCAATTAAGATAAAGTAATAACACCTAATAATGAGAACATGGATAACAAAAATACAAATTTAAATTTTAACTCCTTTATACACATGGAGGAAAAATTTTACAATGAAATATTAGTCTTTTAAATGCCATCAATGTATTGTTTATTCTCATAAGGATTATAAGTATAATCATCTTCCATATGAGACATAAGATGAATTTTTCGTTAAAAATATCTTAAGATATAATTGAAGATCATTCAAATAAAATAAAACATTAAAGAACAATGCACGTATTCAAACTCGCATTGATATACAAATGACCTTAGACATAAGAAAAGGAGATTAAGATACTTTAGTGAATACTCTGAAAAATAACATGTAACACAAATACATTTGGTATTAGAAAAAAAAATACTAAGAAAGAATGACCTATATGAAAGAATATGTCATTGAATGAGAATGAAGAAGCAAATGCAAATACTTATTTTCTTGGACTTTAAATGCAATTGACTTATAATCTCAATTATATATAAATCGAATAAAAGAGAAAGAGGAGAAATTTGTAAATTTTGGTGAATTATGAAATTGTGACAATTAACATAAATGAGTAAAACAAAGAGACGTTAGCATACAAAAATTAATGAGATGCTCATAAGTTAAATATTTCTTTTATATATATTAAGATTCAAAAAACATATTAATTTTTTAATATATATATATATATATACATATATATATATATATACATAAAATATATATTTATTTTTATCCAATTTTTTTATTTTATTTTGCAAAATAATTTTTATAAGGCTTAAATATGTTTTTAGTCCCTTAAATTTAGGATAATTTTGTTTTTGGTCCCTCAAATTTAAAATTATTGTTTTTAGTCCCTATAATTTCAAAAAAAAAATTATTTTAGTCCATATATTCAAATTTTGTTAAGAAATTTATCAAATATTATTGCATAAAATCTAACTATTAATGTCCTTATTAGTAAAAATATCACATTAAATTCAATTGATATTATATAACTGTCTTAATTAGTCACTTTCAAGTATGTTATTACTGATCTAAGGGACTAAAAATAACAGTTTTAAATTTGAGGGACCAAAAATAAATTTGTCTTAAATTTGAGGGACTAAAAACATATTTAAGCCTTTTTATAATGTATAACAATTGAATTTTATAGAAATTTAATAATGGTTAGTAATTAGTAAATTGTTTTTATCCATTTTCTTATTTTATAAAAATATTTTTTTATAATATATAAGAATTAGATTTTGCGAAAATAATGATCAGTAGTTATTAAAATATTTTTATTAATTTTTTTGCTCAAACAAATTTTATATTATACAACCTAATTATTAAAGTGGAACCTAAAACGAATTTATTAATTATTAAGGTATTAATTATTTTGATATATTTATTTATTTATAATTATTTTCAATAGTAGTTTATTTTAAAATAAAATATTTATATATAAAAATATTTAGAAGAGAATTCTTGGAAGAAAGTTTTGGAAGGAATAAGTTGTTTTCTTTATATATATATATATATGTATGTATATATATATATGAGATGTTTCAACATAAATAATTCATAGTTGTCATTATCATAATTGACATCATTGTCATTGTCTCCATTGTTGTAATTACCATCACTGTCGCCAATAATAATGATAGTAATAATAGTGATGATGGTGACACATACAGTAATGGTGGTGGTTATAACAATAGTAACAATGGGTAGTGGCAGCCTTAAGGACGGTTTGGTAGGGCGACTGCCTAAGGCCTCATTGTCGAAGGGGTACCCAAAATTTATTATTTATATAATATAAAAAAGTTACATAATCAAATTATTAAAAAATTATTATAGAAAATAAAATAATTAAGAACAATTAATCAGTTTTTCACTAGTGAACAAAAATTTACCAATAATTTTCGAAAAATGATTGACAATATTAGATATAAAGAAGAAATTAGTGTGATATATTATTGACTTATTTCCCTTTTTTTTTTCTTGGTGTGAACTTCCATAACTGTTAGTTAACTTAAAATCATAAATAAGAATTGTCTTTAATTTTTTTTCCTTTGTCCCTAACTTATTTGATTTTCTTTTTATTTTTTTTAAATCATGTCTTATATTACTTTGATGAAATCTCGAAATCAAATTATGAATCCACACCTCTCAGTCATGAGCTTCTTTATAATGTGTCACCATTATTGATCCCTTTCTTTTTCTTACATAATAGTTTCTAATGGTAAGTCATAGTCTTGTACAAATGTATTGTACCTTTAGTCATTTTTTTAAATGTAATTTTGTGTTTAACTATTTGCATATTTATACTTTTAGGTTTGGAAATTGGGGTCATTATTAATATTCAAATATTTATGAAGGCATTATTTTTTCACTTAACTCATGACACCAAAACACACACGGTCGATCCTAATGGTGAGGATGACAATTACAATAGTGGTGGCGGTGACTATGGTGGTAGTGACAATGATGATTGTGGTAGCAACAACGATAAAGACAATGGTGGTGATGGCGGTAACTAAGACAGTGGTGGCGATGACAATGACACTAGTGGCAACAATGTTTGTAGCAATGGTAGTGGTGATGATGTGGAAGTAGTGATGGTTGTAGTGATGAATATTATATAATGATGACAGTACGAGATAACTTTGGTTATTACTTTTTAATCTCAATTGTCTATTTTAATCTAATAGTTATTATCAATAGTTTTCAAGAACTTCTAGCACCCACACCAAAAATGCTCTACACTACTTTGATATACTACTTTGGTGCTTAACCACAAATCCTCAATCTTTTAGAATGCCTGGAAAAAGAAAAGAGGAGTTTAGGAATCAAAGTCTTTATCTCTAACTTCTCTCTAAACTTTCTAAAGAAATAAACTTATGATGTTCACTTCTTAATAAAAGTGTTATATAGCCTTCTCTTACAGGTCAAACTTGAACCCTGCTCAGAGATACTTGTAAACAACTACAACTCCTAAAAAATTCCAAAATTCCAAAGTTTCTCAACAAATCAATATAACAAATTTTTAATAAATCAACAACCATTTAAAACGCATAGTGTTACAATTTTTATTCAAGCAAAAAAATGTAGGATTTTAAGCATGCTAGACCCACATGAATGTGAGGCATTGGCTATGCTTGATGCTTCCGAGCTCTCAAACCTTAACAAAATATTTGTGCGCAACATTGAGCCTCCAGTCTTCATGAATTACGATTCCTACACTTCATAGTAGCGAACTCCCAAGTCGTGTGCAATATCGAGCTTCCGAGTTCTCGCTACTTAACAATCATTCATGAACTCCCAAGTCCGAGTACAATTCCAAAACTCCTGAACTGTGAATTCCCCCACACCCTCACGACTACAAGTTCCCTAACTTGGACACACACAA